CTTTTTAAAATTTTATATCACCGGCAAGTCATCCTTGGCTACACCTTACTACCTAATTGGCTCATGCAAGAATTATGATGAAAAAAATGCCCAAATTTCGACCAATCGAAACAAGGAACACTCTGCCCCAAAACCCATACAAACAAGAAATTCCCTAAACGAGAAGAACAACATAAGCCTTGTCCGAAAAAGAAACCTAATCAGAAGAGGGGAAAAAAAATGAAGTAACCCATTGGCTGAGGAGAAAATCTACTTACAAATCGAGCAATGGGAAGTCTCTCCCATTATTTAATGGCCAATAAAGCAATAAATTTGTTGTTTTTTTTTTTTCCATTTATTTTTATCAATAAATGATGAGCAGGCTTTTGAGCAGAAAGTCTAGGCCTTCAAACAGTGTAGCAGGAGAAAAAAATATAGATGATTTTAAGTGAGTCAATGAGTTAATAACTTAATATCATAGTGCATTCATGTGTTTTCCAGTGGATAAATTGAACCCAAACAGGCATTTAAGGCCCTCAGATCATGAGAGGTCATGTTTTGGGCTTCAAGTACACTAAGTTAGGTGGGCAAAATTTACTCTCTTTGGAGAAGCAAATAGGACCCACTTTGGAAAAGTCATTGAGTACGATTAAGCTGCAGAAGGAAATAAAATATATACACTAACACAGATTGTGAACTATGAAGAAGCAAAGCTTCCATCAACAATCTGAAGCTAAATCACACTCAGTTTGATAATTTTTGTGTTAAAAAGATGTTCTGAAAATATCATGTAAAAAAAAAAAAAATTATAGAGATATTCCAAGTCAGAAGAAATTATTTCTAAATTTAGAACCTCAATTTCAAAAGTTCTTCATAGATGGTATATAGCTGATATTAACCTTGCTGTCCTTTCCCTGTTCATGAGTAGTTCCTTGCAACTCCTGGGATTCGAACATGTCTTTGCTCCATATGTACCTTCGAAACTTATGATAAAACCGATGCATAGAATGAAAACCAATACCCAATTGATT